GGGAGGTGAAGTGGACTCCAGCGAGGACACGTGGATGGCGGGAAAGGTAGTGGCGGAATCTGGATGATTAATTATTTTGTCGTCTTTATCATTAATTTTTATTCCTTTTTTTTTTTTTCTCTTTGAGTCGACATTCCAATTCGGACAGAAACAGTGGAAGCAGAAAAAATTAAGTTTAATATCCATTCATAAGTAAATGATATTTTACAAGCTCAAAATTTAAATTTTGTGGACAACTCAAATCATTGTTAAAAGAAAAAAATTACTGCCGCAATGCAAGGTTAAGTATGATATTATAATGATAATTTTTTTATATTATTTTTTATATAATTTTCATATATCATTAAATGAATAAATGTATTAAATATTATGAATTTTATATAAATTAAAAAATTAATTATTTTAATAACACATCAAATTATATAAAAAAATTGTACAAAAATTATTTCGAGTAAGGTTAATGTATTCTTCCAAAAAAAAAATTGTTTTTAAAAAGAAAATACCTCTAAGTACTCAGCAACCAGTAACATCCCATGAACAAAGAAAAAAAAAAGCCAATTAGAAAGGAATTACGAATTTTGCATTGAAAAAGTATTTTATAATATAAATGGTAAAATAAGATATTTTTTTATTATAGTATTTTGTTAAAAAAATCTCTTTGTTATAAGGGAAAAGTATTTTATAAATTATTCTCCTAAAATTTTTTAAATATATGTTTAAAAACTTATCTTCTCATTTATGTTTTTAAAAATTAATAATTAAATTAAAATTTTGATTCATATAAATTATGTATATATATTTTTAATTATAAAAAATTAAATACTATTAAATATATATTAATAAATAGAGTTGTATTGACTAAAACTAAATGATAATAATTTTTAAATGGTTAAATATTCTTTTTGGTCCCTCTACTATAATAAAAAGCTCTTTTTTGGTTCCTGTACCGAAAAAATCCCCTTTTTGGTCATTACTGTTTACAAATCCGACTCTTTTTTAATCCCTCCGTTAACTTTTGGCTGACGTAGCAAGTTAATTAATAGAAACACTTATTCCTTTTTTTTATTAAATTATGTGGAAAATCCACGTGGTAAAAATTGATAACATGCTAAATTTTTTATTTTTAATTATTGATATACCCTCGTCTTCTTCCCGGCTTCTCCTTCCTCCAGTCTTTTTTTTTTCTTTTACCTCCAGGCAAACCCAAGAGCCTGGGTTCGCAAAACCTAAAAGGTAGCCATAATGAACAAACAAAATGAACCAACCAATGTTAATATGAAGGAGAAAAAGGTTACTGGGTGCGAACCCACGAGCTGGGTTCGCGAGGAACCCAGGTTCCTGGGTTCGCACCTCGCGAACCCATCGCCTAGAGGTAAAAGGAGAAAGAAAAAAAAGAAAAGGACGGATGAAGGAGAGGATGGGGAAGAAAGAAGAGGGTAAATTAGTAATTAAAGGAAAAATTTTTACCATGTCATCAATCTTTGAGGGCAAATCAATAATTAAAAGTAAAAATTTTAGCATGTCATCAATTTTTACCACGTGGATTTTCCACGTAATTTAATAAAAAAAAAAATGAGTTTTTCCGTTAATTAACTTATCATATCAGCCAAAATTTAATGGAGGGACTAAAAAGGGGCCGGATTTGTGAACAGTAAAGACTAAAAAAGGGATTTTTTCGGTACAAAGGCCAAAAAATGGCTTTTTCCTATAGTAGAGGGACCAAAAAGGGTATTTAACCTTTTTAAATCAATATAAAAGTTAATATATATAATTTATTTAAATAAAATTTTTAATTTAACTATAAAATTTAAAAATATTAATTAAAAAATAAAATTTTAAACAAATCTTTTTAAAAATTTTAAAAAAATCAACCTCTCGCTTTCCTTAAAATATAAAGGAGAAAGGGAGAATTATTACACAAAAGCTGCAACCCACCAAAAGAAGGCGCCACCACCCAAAATAAAGAAGTGAAAATCATAAATTGATAGGGAAACAACATAAACCGATCACACGCTTCAGTCAGCCATGGATAATGATGTGTCTTCAAACAACATAACCAAAACTATTACCAAAGATATCAGCCTCTTGTTGTCTGATAAGCAGATTGTTTGTGCTTTATAATTTCTTAGTCACTGCAAGTACTATAATCACGATGAGAAGCACAATTCCAGTAGTCGACAAGAGCAAGACGGCCTGGATAACATAGAAGGGAAAGGTCAAATACTACAATTAGAGTGCAGACAGAATACAATTTCTTCCTACTGACCTTTTCTTTGCAGCGTTTGCAAGTTGGGATTTCCCCTGTGGCCTGTGGCGTTGCAGCAGCGTGTGCATTCTCAATATGGGAGCCACTGTTATCTGCATTATACGTACAAGCTAACTAGTAACTCCAATGTGACCAGAGCAATAACAGTGAATTCAACAAAAACGGCACTGAGATGACTCACTTACCAATCATAGCACACTGGTCGTGGACTAGCGCCGCTAGATCTTTACAAAATGGTATTCACCTCACCCGTTTGCTGCAGGATTCCTGAATTCCCTGCTCTGTTTCCTCAATCATAGCCTCATTGAATGCAATCTCGTCTTCCAACATCAATACCTCCTGTCTGCAAAACAGGGACAACTCAGAAGTTAAAGGATTCAACAACTTTCGTACTAGCTAGGATTATAAAAGAAAAGGTTTTGGCAATGAGGAATATAGAAGAATATATTCCATTAGTGAAAAAAAAAAGTGATGTATATGTAAATACGAATTTCTAAATTTGAAGAGAACAAGAAAAGATGCCACTGGATTAAGAGGGGGCAGGGCATTATAGATTATGGTTCCACCCACACCATGAGAGGGATAACTGAGAACAAATGCCATTATAAGCAGAATCTACCTTCTAGGTCCACAAGAAAACCATGGTGCTCTGCAGTTTTATCAAAAACTTAAATCTAACTCACTGACTGCAAAGCTGCATACAGCATCAAGTAAACCCCAACATAAGAAAAACATGCAATGGATGTAAAGAATAAACGTACTGTAGCATCCACAACATACATTTACAAAGGCGAAATGACAAAATCAGTAATAGTTATAGACTACATGCTAAAAAAATCGTCTAGAATCCACTGATTTTTCCACATCAATATGTCATGCAAAAAAGGAAGCAAAAATGGAAACAAAAAAGGGTTGCTTTGATGTGTTAAGGCAACTGCATCTCCAGCTGTTACCACGTGATCAGCAATCAATGAGACCATGATCTTAGGATTCATTCAATCTGTAATCTATATGTTTATTATACTGTATCATATATTTAGTTTCCATACCAGCTAGGATTCTGTGTATCATATATTTAGTTTCCAAACCAGTTAGGATTCTGCGTTGATGCCTCTGTATATATTATTCATAAGACAGCAATAATAAGATAGCTTTGTCTGCTTCAATCTATAACCATTCAGTGGCATCAGAGCCTCTACTGCTCTCACGAGTCTTGATCATGGCCACTCCCGATGAATCCCCCAACTCTGCTGCATCCAAAACGTCCCCAAACTCTGCTGCAACTGTTCTCAATCCTGGACTCACCAAAAATCCATTATCTTTCAATTCCGCCGCATTCCCTGTAAAGCTAACGCCCACCAACTATATGTCTTGGAGGGCTCAATTTACTTCTTTGCTTGCAGGTTATGAACTCGATGGCTACCTTGATGGCAGGAACCCCTGTCCAGTTGCGTTAACATGATGTGTAGCCTCCAGATCCCATATATATCAGCCCTTCGGACAAAACATACCCGATGAAGTATGTAAGGCATTTCCCGTTGAGTGGCTAGCCTTTGAGCCTTCTGGAATTCTTTCAAAATTGCTTGAAAATCTTTTGCAAGTTTAGCATATTCAATTTTCTTGCTTGCCTGCAATCCGAAGCAATTAAGGTCATCAAAACATCAATAACAAAAACAAAGTAAAGATTAATAATCTCCAACACAGTTTCGAAACCCCAGTGCACAAACACAACTAAAAAAGGTATTGATGACAACCAGAGAAAAACAGAAATGTTGCAGAAAATGAATAAAACTGTTCTTCACTTCATTTTTACTCGTGAGTTTGAAATTGGTCAAGTGACACATGAAATATCAGGGTGTGGTAAACACACGTACAGAAGATCATGCTTGCTTGTCTGAATTGCATAATCAATTAATCTCTAATTTTCAAAAGACCACACTTACGCTGACAGTGGTATTCTGATTTGTTACACTAGCTTGTTTAAGTTTAGCTGAAGTATCCTTTACCAACTGTCCAATACGTAGCCTTGTCTCGTGCCTGTCGAGAGAAATGGAGCCAATGAGACCAGTCTAATTAATAAGCACGTCACGCAACTCTATCCTTATTTTCTTAGTACGATTTCTCAACGCTAGATCCTAGATCATTAAAAATGTAGACTCACACTTACAAACAACTTGTCACCAATTTCGGAGGTGTCCTTAGGCGTCCCGAGGAAATTGACGAGACGCTGGAACATGGAGACATTGGTGTTGATCTGGAACATACCGAAGGCAACTGATTGAATAGTGGCATCCTGTGCTTCCTTATCTTCAAATCTCATGATTAATCTATTTGGAGAAATTTCAAGAGAGAATTCTCTTTAACTCTTGAAAAAGGGAACTTCGAAAGACAAATCTAAAAGCACTAGTGTCTGGATGCGGGGACGTTCTAGTGAAAAACCCTGCGGGTATTAAGTGAGTTTTTGGGTGCTTTTTCTTCAATTTGCGTAGTTCATTTGATTTGATACTCTCGAAATTTGTATTAATTTAAGTTTTAGGACACCTTTTTATATCCTTTTCTGTCCTATAAAAAGGCACCAAATTCATCAGCCTTTCCCCAAACCACTCCATGTATACACTTTACTACTCTGGCAAGACAAGGAATGAAAACAGAGTGGGTTCTGTTGAGTTTCAGCCAATTCAATCTATTCCATTACCGTGGGGAGCGATGATGATGGGTGGATGTGGCAATGGACGAGACAAGGATCTTATACTGTCAAGTCCGGCTATCATCATGCTGCCCTGCGACATGAGGAGTTGCTCTCAGCTAAGTGTTTAAAGAAAACTATGTGTAGGGTGGCATTCCTCATTAGATTAGATTGTTGGTATTCTGTTTTGTTTTTTTTTTTTAACAAATATCTAAGAGATCGAATTCGAATCGTTGCATGATAGAGGAGAATGCAACCTAAAATCACTAAAGCGAAGGCCCAAGTACTTGAACAAATACAATTAAGAGATAGAAGTATAAAAAATAACATGGCATCATCAGGACACAAGCTATAATTATTATTAAAGTATTGAACATACTTAACAACTCGCCTTAAATCGAGTGCAGTTAGGTTGTTGGTATGAAATGCTTACAAAAATAGACTTCCATCAAAAGATAATCTTAGGGGAAGGCGTGTGGATGTAGACTTGGACTGCCCTGTTTGTGGCCAAGAGGGGGATTCGATAATCCATTGTATGAAGAGGCGTGTTGTGGCTCTGGCGGTGTGGCTGGGGTGCCCACTTTCCTTGCGTGCTAGCCTCTTGGTTTTGAGGCACATTGTTTTATGCAAAAAACTATGAGGCATTTATATTTAGAAAAAAAAGAAGAAGAAGAATAAAGAAATGTGTTCTTTAGTATTGGAAATGCCTAATGCAATTTGCATACTGCTGCCCTAGCCCGCTAATATGTCCAATAATTTATATAATATGATCATCATTTTAAT